CCCCAGAGGCAGCTGCTGTTCTGAAATAGATTACTAGATTAGTTTCGCCTATGCTGGGACTTTGTATAAATGGACTTGTACAGTATGTACTTGTGTGTAAGGCTTCTTTAACTCCACATAATGTTTTCCAGATTTATCCATGTCACATGTCTCAGTAAACCATTGGCTTTTCATTGCTGAGTAGTATTCCTTTCAAGTATGCTACAATTTCTTGGGTTTTTTTTTTTTTTTCAAATCTATTTTCCTACTGATGAACACTGGAATATTTCCAGTTTTGGGCCAAATAAAGTTAAGAACATTGTCGTGTAAATCTTTTTGTCTACACGTCTGCATTTCTCTGGAGTATATATAAAAACAAAAAAACAAACTCACTGACATCGAATTGGCTCCAACCCATAGGGACCTCTCCTTGGATTTCCAAGGCAGTATCACTATGAAATTAGATTGCCCAACCTTCCTTCTGAAGAGTAGCTGGTGGGTTTGAACTGCCAGCCTTCAGGTTAGTAGTCAAATGCCTTAGGCACTGTTGTTGTTATATGCCATTGAATCGGCCCCGACTCATAGCGACCCCTCCTTGGGTTTCTGAGGCAGTATCACTACGGAAGTAGGATTGCCCAATATGCACTACACCACCAAGTATGTATGACTGGAATTACTGGGTCAGAGAGGATTTATAGGCTTAGTTTTATAGGAAATTGCCCTGATGGTTGTACTACTTTATTCTCCACCATCAACAGATCAGAGCACATCTTTGCTGCCCTCGAGTATTAACAGTGGCAACTCATTTTGGTTTTAATTTGCATTTCTCTGATTAAATGATTGAGCAGTTCTTCATATGCTTACTGGCTATTTTATATCTTTCTTCGTAAAGTGACTATTCAAGTCTTTTGCCCATTTGAAAAAACTGGGTTATCTGTCCTTTCATTTTTGGCTTGCAGGTATTCTTTATCTACCTTCATATCCTTTATAGACACTAATCCCTTGTCAGATCTATATATGAGACTATCCCCTGTACTCAGGGGAGTGGGGCCCCATACACTTAATCTTTGGCATCTCCCTAAAATGATGCCAGAGATTCTGCTTTGTTTAACACTGTATTCCCAGTGCCTAGGATAGCTCATGGCATGTAGTAGGAGCTCAATAAACATTTACTGAAATAACTGATGAATGAACAGATGAACTGATTTTGGGACCAGTGTGGTAATCAAAGTTGTATGTCACCTTGGTTGAACCTGGCTGAGTAGCTGGGCAGCTGGTGGTAGTTATTCCCCATAATGAGACTGGCAGTCAGCTCCATGGTGGGATCTATCACAAGCAGCTGAGTAGCTACTTTGGGTATATAGTCTGCTTCCCGTATATAAGAAACAGCTTTGGGAATGGTCTCCAGCTTATGACACGCTTGAACCCTCCATGTAGCCGTGCCATTGTTCAGCAGCATGCCATGCTCTGCCGACCTTGGGACTTTCAGTGGACTTAAATTAATGGCCTGCCATGTGGTTTAGTAACATTGGGACATTTTATTTGTTGACCTTGGGCTTGTTAGCCTCAGCAGCAGTAAGCTGCCTGAGTGAAGAGATGCCTCTAGCTTCAGTGGGCCAGGAGCAAGAGGCAGAGCTGAAGCCCAAGGTTGAGGGGCTTTCACACAGCCCCCAGAGCCTGGCACTTTGAACTTGGATTTCTAGCCTCCCAAAATGTAAGAGAATAAAACTCCTATTTGTTCAAGTCATCCCATTTGTGGTAGAGTCTTGTCAGAGTGGCACTAGGAAACCAAAACAACCAGATACAATATCCTTGAATTGGATGTCATTAATTAATACAAAATAAGGGAGTGGTAAAGGGGGGCGGAATTTGAGTATCGTCCTTGGACTATAAATATTGTTGATACAAAGAATGCACTTTACCTTTAGGAGATTTGCTCACTCAGGGGAAACACTGCCAGAATGTCTTATAGACTAGACTAGCCTAGTCTATTAATGGCTGGTGGTTCAAACTCACCAGCCATTCCTCGGAAGGAAGATGGGGCAATCTACTGCCATAGTGATATTGCCTTGGAAACCCAAGGAGGGGTCGCTATGAGTCAGGTCCAACTCGACGGCACATAACAACAACAACTACCACTAGTGAGAAATAAGACTTGCCCCCATTCATAAACTCTGCTGTCTAAACTGCTGCATTCTGGGACTACATCCTGCCCATTCCAACTCTTGGATTCTGACCAGATTTGCTTGCTGGATGATCAGAACATCTAGTTTTGGAGCCTTAGAAACTATGGAGTGTACTCTTTCCACACACATGGGGTGTCCATGAGTCAGAATCGACTTGAGGACAACTAACAACAACAAAGGTAACTTAACCTAGCTAATCCCACTGTGTCCTCCACCAGCTTCCTCTTGTCTCCCTCCCACACTGATGATGCCTGTTCCCATCGGCCCTTGTGCTGGGTTCCTCTGGATGCTGTCTGTGACCCACCCCACTGGTGTGCACTGCCTTTCTGAGCCTCTAAGTTTGGCCCAAGGCATTTTCCCCTTGATCCTGCAACCGTCTGCCTGCTATTGATCTGGCTGGCTCTAGCCTCTGTTGGATTTACAGTGAATAGGGAGCTCTAGTGGCATAATCCCTAAGGCATTTGACTGCTATGAGTTGGGATCAACTCAAGGGCAGTGAATTTGGTTTCTTTTTTTTAATAGTGCTCAGCATTCACATTTGTAGTGGACTTTGTCATTTACAGAGTACTTGTATAGCCATTTAGGGAGTTCTAGTGGTGCAGTGGTAGCATAGTGGCTAAGACACTTGCCTGCTAACCAGATGGCTGGCGGTTCAAACCCACCAGCCACTCCTCGGAAGGAAGGTTGGGCAATCCTACTTCCGTAGTGATACTGCCTCGGAAACCCAAGGAGGGGTCGCTATGAGTCGGGGCCGACTCGACGGCACATAACAACAACAGTGGTGCAGTTGTTAAAGTATTTGGCTGCTAATCAAAAGGTTGGTGGTTCAAATCTACCAGCACTCCATGGGAGAAAGACGAGGCAATATGCTTCCTAAAGACTTACAGACTTGGAAACCACATGGAGCAGCTCTACTCTGTCCCATAGGATTGCTGTGAATCTGAATCGACTTGATGGCAGGTTTGGTTTTTGGTTTTGTATGGCCATTATTTCATTTGAGCCTCCAGAGAGCCCAAGTTGGAGCTTATTTTTCTTTTTTCCCAAAGGAGGAAGCATAAAGAAGGGATTTGATTTGCTGCAAAATGAATGTTTCCCACATGAGGCCCAGAGTTTTCTAAGACTTTATGGGTCTTTCTCTACCAATATTGGTGCTTTCTTAGTGCCTTTCCTCCCAAGAGGCTCTGTAGACTTTTCCAGTCCAGAAACCTGGATAAAAGCTATCAGTAGGAATTCAGTTTCCATACCCAAGACATGTGTGGGTAGTTTCCAACTTTTTAATTTAGCCACCATTATGGTGTCCCATTTCCCCACACACACACCCTTTGGATCATATAACGAGCTCTGGTGGTACACTGCCTAAGGCATTTGACTGCTAACCAGAAACCCACCAGCCTCTCCATGGAAGGAAGACAGGACAATCTACTTCTGTAAAGATTTACCTTGGAAACCCAATAGGGGTCTCTATAAGTCGTCGGAATCAACTCAATGGCAGTGAATTTGGTTCTTTGGATCCTATATTGTGTGTGTATATATATATATATATATATATACATACATATATACTGAATGTCCACCAAATCTGTACTTACTGACTCACTTTCTCAACTTTATGCATCAGATACATACCTTCTAGTCAGAATTTAGGATCAGGATCAGAGAATCCATGTGACCTCACTAGGTTGATTTGTCTAACAGCCAAAATAAAGATATGTGATATTTGAATTAGCCTCCAAGCAAATGACTGGTATATTTCCATTTCTACTGGGCTTTTTGAAGGATGGAAACTTCATACACTGACTCTTGGGAGCATGTGGCAGAGTTTAGTTCTTTTGAAGAAGTAGTGCTGGGCCCATACGTTCACTTGGGAACTAGTCTTTCTGCATCACTGATATCTGAGTGGGTGGGAAAGACTCTAACCCTTTACCACTGTGATCTGACCTCTCCCTGTCTCTATGGAGAATGATGCTTAACCAGCCTTACCTAGTATTTCCTCGGCAGCTAGTTGTCTTCAGTTCAAACGTGTTAAAACCTTGGGGCAGAACATGCATTTCTTCTAGAAACAAAGACATTCCCCAAACTATTCTGGACTACTGAAAAGTAGACAATTTAAAATGTCCTGGAGCCAGAACTATTACACAGTATCCAAACCTAGTCTGAATTATACTTTAGAAGGATCATGGTTGCTAAACAGTATCTGTTTCCAAATTACTACAATTAATGAATGTTCCTCTGCATGCCAATTACAGAAGAGGAATTGCATTTAAGAAAGACTGTTAATGTAATTTGTTATTGAATTATAATTTTGTGTTCTTGTTGTTAGGTGCCATCAAGTTGGCTCTGACTCATAGCACCACAATGTACACAGAACAAAACACTGCCTGGTCCCGCATCCTCCTCGCAATCTTTGCTATGCTTGAGCCCATTGTCGCAGCTGCTGTGTCGATCTATTTCATTGAAACTCTTCCCCTTTGTCATTATTTAATAAATTGTGTTAAATGAACCAATGGAATATTATATAATAATTTAAATTACTGAGAAAACTAAAATTCTTATGAACAACATTAAGTGAAAGAAGCACAATACATAAAGTTGGGACATATACTCACAACCATGAAAAATATATACATGTAGATAACATCTTTGGGGTGGTCTGCAGAAATGAAAAAAATGTGTTAACAAGGGCAAGGATGAGTCTTCCTTTTTCAAAATGTCTTTCATGTAAGTTGTTAAATATATCACCTTTGCAATTAAGAGGGCTGAAATGGATTTTTATTGCTTCAGTGAAGAATATTAATATTTTATTAATCAAATATTGTGGTTTGTCTTGTTTTGTAGGAGAGCCAGCAGAAATCCACTAATGTGGTCTACCAGGCCCACCACGTGAGCAGGAATAAGAGAGGGCAGGTGGTTGGAACAAGGGGTGGATTCCGAGGATGTACTGTGTGGCTAACAGGTATGCCATGTTTTATATGCATATAGACCTTTTTTGTTCTTTTATAAATTGAAAGTTAACATATGAAGTAAGTCACACAGTTCTAAGGAAAGTACATGTTTATTTTTACTTTGGAATGGGGCTGAGAACTGTAGTAGAAAGCTTAGGATTTAGACCTCACTCTACCACTAGTAGAAGCTCTGGTAGCGTAGTGCCTAAGGCATTTGACTGCTAACCAGAAGGCTAGCGGTTCAAACTCACCAGCCATTCCTTGGAAGGAAGATGGGGCAATCTACTTCCATAGTGGTACTGCCTCTGAAACCCAAGGAGGGGTCGCTATGAGTCAGGTCCGACTCAACGGCACATAACAACAACTACCACTAGTGAGAAATAAGACTGATCAAGCCACAGAATATCTCTAGTCCTTCGTTTTCCTCTCTTTGGCTCGAGAGGATGGGACAAGCTGATTGTGACATTCCTTTTCAGTTCTAAAGAATTTCATAATTCTCATGTTCCTGGCTAAACATACTTTTTGGCAGTTATGAATGGGACTTCCTTAATTTGACACTGAGTATTTGGCTGTCCACATGGTTTTGGATATTTAGAAATATACTTTATTGTTTTCTGATGTTTTAGCATTCTAGTGTAAAAAAAACCATAAGAATCTGTGTAAGAAGGAAACTAGTGATTTCCATCTGGCTGATGACTGTCCCTTGCATGTAGAAATCACTTGCACCCACTGAAGTGACCAATTGAATCTCCATTTTGTTGTGTTTTTAAAGCCACAGAATTTAAAAAATATAAAAGAGTTAGTGATGGAACTAGAATTAGAACCTAAGACTCCCTTATATTCTTGAGTACAAGGTAGAGGAAGTTGTTCCCCGGGAATATGAGTCTGACATGGCCCAGGCTCAAAAGGGAAAATGAAGTTAATGTCATAGACATGATGTTTCAAATGGAAATGAGGCCACATGCAAATAGATGTTTACCCAGTTATGCAATCAACTTATGTGTCGCTGTCTGTTCACAAATGCTGATTTGAAGATAAATTAGAGATCTTCAAACTCAAAGATAATTCCAGAGTATGTGGCAGGCAGGGACCTGTCTTACATCTTTCTTTGTTGCTATGAGTCTTTCCCTTTCACCCAGTTCAAGGTTGGTTTGTTTTTCCTGTTACCCTCTGTCTTAGTTAACTACTGCTGCTGTAGGTAGCAGCACTGGGCATTTCTTAGTTCCTTGGTGGGTAGACAATCCTGACATGGTGTCTGTCACCCAGCTTGTGCCTGCCTCTGTGTCTCACCTGCTCTTTTTGAAACTCAGAAGTGATTAGGTTTAGGACACATGCTACACTGATATGGCCTTGTTAACCTAACAAAGAAAGTTTTCTTTCCAAACAGGATTACATCCAAAGCCTTCATAAGGCTAGGATTCCAACACATATGGCAGGGGGAGGCACAATTCATAATGCCCTCCTTAGACTTAGTATGGGAAGGAAGGTTGGGCAATCAACTTCCGTAGTGATACTGCCTCGGAAACCCAAGGAGGGGTCTCTATGAGCTGGGTCCGACTCGACGGCACATAATAACAACAAGACTTAGTATGTGTGTACTTGCCTTTGTTTTTTTGTTTCATTCATCCCTGGGCCTCTGCATCAAAACAACTTTCTCTAGCCAGAAAGAAGACAGACAAGGATCGAGGACCTATGACATTCATAGAGGCAGTGTTGACCAGTCATTATTCCTGATATGTTTATCCCAACTCACTCTGACAGATGTAATTTGTAGCAGGAGATTAAATACAGCTTCCTTCTTGTTTTGTGTTAGCTTCATGAAATGTTTACTAGTGAAAACAACCTTTGTATTGGGTTCTACCCACAGACTCCATTTTCTCTAATGTGGAACACCTTTGAAAAGAGAAAGAGAAGTGAGAGAAGAGAAAATGATCACCTATGTTTCTTACTCTTAAAAAAAAAAAAAAAAAAACTAAAAGAAAACTGCCTGATTATTTTTTTTTTGTAATTCTTAACTTACCAAATAAAACCTAAACTCACTGCCATCCAGTCGATTGCGACTCATAGAAAGCCCTCCTTGGGTTTCCGAGGCAGTATCACTACGGAAGTAGATTGCCCAACCTTCTTTCTGAGGAGTGGCTGGTGGGTTTGAATATCCAGCCTTCTGGGTAGCAGTGAAATGCCTTAGGCACTACAGGATATCAACCAGGCAGACCAGAAACAATTGAATACTTCCAGTTCAGAGGCATGGATTTGAGTCCCAGTCCAAAGTACATTAACTATGTGGCTTTGGGCAAGTCAGTATAACTCTATAAGCCTCAGTTTTCTTATTTGTAAAATGAGAATAAAAATACAGTACCAGCCTCATAGGATTTTGTTGTTGTTGTTATTTGCCGTCGAGTCGGCCCCGACTCATAGCGACCCCTCCTTGGGTTTCCAAGGCAGTATCACTACGGAAGTAGGATTGCCCAACCTTCCTTCTGAGGAGTGGCTGGTGGATTTGAACCGCCAGCCTTCTGGTTAGCAGTCAAGTGCCTTAGCCACTATGCTACCAGAGCTCATAGGATTTTAGGTAAGACTAAATGAAATAAAGCACAAATTCACTTAGCACAGCCCTGGTCTAGAGTAAAGTTCTTGGCAAATGTTATTAGTGTTACCCCAATATATTAAAATAAGCATTGCCAACAATCCAGTTTAATAGTTACTGTAATTTAGCACTTAGTTTCCTGAGAGTTGAAGCAAAATTGCAGGAAAGGCTAGCTCTCTCTCATTGATTGATGTAAGTGAACGCGCTACAACATCAGATGTCCCATTTCCGTTCTCCCACAATTCAATGTAAATTCTGAGAGGAATTTATCACCTAAATCTTTATTCCAATGAAACTGAACAACATAAGAACATAAGAAACAATGTCTTCAAGGGTGATTTGGCAGATTGCCTGCTGACACATTCTTCATGTAGGCTTTTCTCTATCAAGGACAAAAGCATGACAGTAAAGCAAAACTGAAAATACAGAAACTATTTGTTTTCCTTTTGTGTATCACCACCCCCCACGACAAGTCTCCTTTCCTCTCTGTCCTTCATCCCTGCCTTTCTCTTACTTTTAACATCTTTGTTCTCTTTCCTACCTGCCATCTTCCCTGTATTAACCTTTTTTTGGCCTTTTCTTCTCTCTCTGTTTCCTTTCCCATGCCCTGGTGCTGGCTGAACAGTGCTTTGCATGATGGAATGTTCTTCACATGCAGAAATCCTGAGACAACTGTATTTTCAGAGTGCTAGTTTTCCGAGGTAATTCAGATTTTGAGCTGTTAAGTCATTTGGGTTAGTTGCATATGTTCTCTTTATATAGAAATTACAATGTGTGTTCCCAATCATTTTACTTTGAAACTATGATGGAAGGCACATGGCAACTCTATTCTCATGTAAAGGCTTTGAAAACCTAAGAGTCTGTGGCAGCTATAAAGGCATCCACAGCCTGGCTCAGGGTGACTCCCTGGCTTTGTCTGTTGAGAGTCATTTTCAAAAACCTTGAAGCCAAAAGGCAGAATGTGGGCTCTATTGTATGGTTGTTTGATGGGATACACAGGGAGGTGGGCCTGCCAGTCCACAGGGCCGTCTGTCCTCCTCCACTCCAGCTGATTGTTGCCACGAGGGGATGTGAAACCACTATCTCCAGATCTTATGATTTTCCAAGAGAAGGCAGAGTATGCATTCTTATGCATAACTCTCTAATATTTGAAACAGGGTAGGAACTCATTGCGTGGTGGACACTGAGCTTCTATTGACGGTGATGCAAGAAGTTGAAAATGGATTGTGGTGACGATCGAACAACATGATGAATAGAATGAATGTCATTGAATTGTACATATAAAAAATGTTGAAATGGCAAATGTTTTGTTATATGTATATTGTACAGACACAATTTTTAAAAAAATTGTGGTTTGGGCACAAAAAAATTTTTTTAAAGAAAAAATAAAACACTGCAGGCAAAATAGAACACAGCAAGTACCATAGCTAGCCCCCAGGTCTCCCTATTAATAATCCTCACTTGCTTTGAAAGGCGATAGTCCTAATAAACTCACTGCTGTCGTGGAGTCGAGTCCGACTCATAATGACCCCTCCTTGGGTTTCCGAGGTGTATCACTATGGAAGTAGATTGCCCAACCTTCCTTCTGAGGAGTGGCTGGTGGGTTTGAACCACTAGCTTTCTGGTTAGCAGTCAAATGCCTTAGGCAGTACTCCACCAGAGCTCCTAAACTCACTGCCGTCGAGTGGGATCTGACTCACACAGTGACCCCTCCTTGGGTTTCCGAGGTAGAAGTAGATTGCCGAAGTGGCCTTCTGAGGAGCAGCTGGTGGGTTTGAACCACCAGCCTTCTGGTTAATAGTCAACTGCCTTAGGCATTACACTACCAGAGCTTCTATAGTCCTAATGTTATTGTTGTTGTTGTGTGCTGTGGAGTTGGCCCTGACTCATAGCGACCCCTCCTTGGGTTTCCGAGGCAGTATCATTACGGAAGTAGATTGCCCCATCTTCTTTCTGATGAGTGGCTGGTCAGTTTGAACTGCCAGCCTTCTGGTTAGCAGTCAAGTGCCTTAGGCACTATGCTACCAGAGCTCCTATAGTCCTAATAGGAGATAGTTATTTCAAAATTTGAAAGAGATGCAAGTCACTGGCTTGTAGTCAGTTTGCTGTTTCTAGTTGTCAGTGGTTTTGATTTGGTTAATGAGGGATTGTTGTTGCTAATTGCTATCAAGTTGATTCTGGGTTATGGTGGCCCCATGTGTGCGGAGTAGAACTGCTCCATGAGTCCCTGGGTGGTGCAAGTGTTAAGTGCTCAACTACTAGGCTAAAGCTGGTAGTTTGGATCCATACAGCAGCACCTCAGGAGACAGGCCAGGTGACCTGCTCCTGAAAGGTCTGAAAACCCTCGGAGCTGTTCTACTCGTAGACAGACATGGGTTCCCTATGAGTTGCACTCACAACAGCAACTAACAACAACAACAAATAAAGGATTATTTATACTTAGAATGCTGGATCAAGTCACAGTTTGTTACCTTAAACAGTCAGGGGCAATGTCAGTCTGTCTTGCCTGTTCTGAACAGGTCTGTCCGGTGCGGGAAAAACAACAATCAGTTTTGCTCTGGAAGAGTACCTTGTTTCCCATGCAATCCCTTGTTACTCCCTGGATGGGGACAACGTCCGTCATGGCCTGAACAAAAACCTTGGATTCTCTCCTGGGGACAGAGAAGAAAATATCCGCCGGATTGCTGAGGTGGCCAAGCTGTTTGCAGATGCTGGTCTGGTCTGCATCACCAGCTTCATTTCTCCTTTCGCAAAGGTAAAATGATTGGGCACTGCCCAGAATTCCCACACACAGCGAGCGTGCTCTCAACCAGCCAGGAAAAGGAGGCAGGCAGGTGGAGGGGAGGACGGAAAGGAATGCTCTACTTTCAATCCCCCACGGTTTTTCTTTTTTTTCACTTGCTTCCTCATTTCCTCTTTCATATTGGTTATATGAAGAGAGTTCCTTCATTTCCAGATGCCAGGGCATAAACCTTTTCACATTCACAATTATAAACAGCGTTTGGCCAGAGTTGAAAGGATTCAAAAGCTAAACAAGAACCATGCAATGGCTCTGTAATTTCAGTTCTCTGTGGAAGAAGAATGTTTAGTTCTAGAAAGAAAAGAATAGTACACTGCCAAAGTGTCAGGTTATGTGTGTTTTCATGTTGCACTCACTGAGGCGGAGTGTCACTAATCTTGTTTTAAAACAGGAAATTTCTGTGAGCTACAAATAATACATTATATGCTTTGAACACATTCCTGAATATAATGCTTTCAGGAGAGCTGTCTTTACAAGAGCAGGATTTCTGAACTTTCTCTAAAGGACTAGGATCCCACGGCCTCTGCTGAGCAAAAACCCCAAGTGTTATCTTAAGGCTACTGAATACCAGACCACACAGCAGTTTGTGTTTAAGGATTTCCAGTGCGACGTCTTCCTACATTCTAATCATATCTTTTCCAGGATCGTGAGAATGCCCGCAAAATCCACGAATCAGCAGGACTGCCATTCTTTGAAATATTTGTGGACGCGCCTCTAAACATTTGTGAAAGCAGAGACGTGAAAGGCCTCTACAAACGGGCCCGAGCTGGGGAGATTAAAGGTAGGAGAGGCAGCTGGTGGCGCCTTCGCCAGTCACTTCTGCTACTGATTTCTTCCTTGTTCTGTGCCCAGAAATCTGTTTGAAGTTTCAAAAGCTGTTCTCCAAAAATGCATATACCATATATACATTGTTATCAAATCATAATGCATTCAGTATGTCCATGGGCTTATTAAAATGTGGGTTCTTATTTTTAAAAGAACAGTCACCATCTCAGCCATAAGCAATAAAGTTCAGAGAACTGAAGTGGACATGTACATGTGAGAGTGTAGAGAGGGGTGTTTCCGAGCTTTTCCTTCTTTTTGTCCTTTTTAATTCTCATCAGCTACAGAGGGCTTGGACTTGCTAACCAGATTTTCTCAATAATGTGGGTGCTTTCCATATTGAAAATACAGCTATATATTTTCTTTCTTAGAGGTCAAGGATGGCGATTTGACCTTTTCTGTTATAATCTGAATTCTCAGTTTAACAGATTATTTCAATGTGTGTTATGCTTTATTGGTTAAAAAGATGGTTCTGCCCCTTTGTCTTGCTGTTTCCCTCTAAGCAAGATGGGTCACCACCAACTCTACTGGAGCCATCTGTAAGAATTTGGCCAGGCTTCCTGCTCTTAACCACATGGGTTCAAACCGTCATGGTCTGATCCAGAAATATGGCCTGAAAATGTGTTGTCAGTATGCAGCCGATATAGGCTTCATCAGGTTGGACTAAAGGTGCCCTACGCCCTAGTGGCTCAAACGGTTAAGCACCTGGTTGCTAATTAAGAGCTTGGCAGTTTGAATGGACCTAGACCTGGTGATCTGCTTCTGTAGACCTAGACCTGGTGATCTGCTTCCGTAAAGATTACAGCCAAGAAAACCCTGTGGGTCAGTCCTACTCTGTCATGTGGAGTTGGAATTGACTCAAAGGCACTCAACAACAAGTTGTACTAAGGAATCATCCTAGAATGGATTATCCAAGACATATGCCCAACAAAAGAAAAATGCAAACTCTTTGTACATAAGATTAAAAATCGATTTTACAAAATGGATTGTTGTGTCTGTGCAGATGTGAGTCTCACTCTTACTCCATGCAGGGTTCACTGGTATTGATTCTGATTATGAGAAACCTGAAACTCCAGAGCGTGTGCTCAAAACCAGCTTATTCTCAGTGAGTGAGTGTGTCCAGCAGGTAGTGGAACTTCTGCAGGAGCAGGTGGGTAGGGTTGTCTTTTTCACTATTTTATTATTTTTTTTAATTTAATAAAGGATGATACATACTCTATTTATTGAAGCATTCTTTTAATAGTTTTCATTTTAAATTGTTACAATTTATGCTTCATTTCAGAACATTGTACCCCATACTACAATCAAAGGAATCCATGAACTCTTTGTACCAGAAAACAAACTTGACCAAGTTCGAGCTGAGGCTGAGACTCTCCCTTCATTATCAATTACTAAGGTAAAAAGGTGAAGACTGGCCAAAGGAGAAATAAGCTCAATATTGATAACTATGATCCATTTGGGAGTCCCTGGGTGGTGCATACAGTTACTGTGCTTGACCGCTAACTGAAAAGTTGGAAGTCTGAGTCCACCCAGAGATGCCATGAAAGAAAGGCCTGGTGATCTATGTCTGAAAAATCAGCCATTGAAAACTCCATGAAGCACAGTTCTACATTCCATAAGTCAGCAGCATTTGCTTGGTTTATACAATCCATTTACAATTATTCTTAAAAATAAAGAAGGTATGGGTAAGGAAGATGCTGTGCCTATAGAGAAAACAAGGAGCCATGGTGGCATGGTGGTTAAAGCATTCAACTATTAACCAAAAGGTCGGTGGTTTGACCCACCAGCCACTCTGTGGGAGAAATCTTTATGCTTCCATAAAGATTTGCAACCTTGGACACCTATGGGTAAGTTCTACTCTGTCCTAAAAAGGGTTGCTGTGAGTTAAAATTGACTCAATGGTAGTGGGTTTCATTTTGGGTTTACAGGGAAAACACTTTACTTTGTCTGTTTTTTTTTAAACCTCTTCTCCAATCATATCTCTCATGAAGAGTTGCCACCTGGCAGCTAGTCAATGCCATGTACAGAGGCAGACTGGGAAAGAAATTTATTTGCATAGGACAGTTTTACATAACTGTCATTATACCTTTGGTTACCCCAAAGTGCAGGCATAAGGCAGTGATCATTTGTTGGCAGCAGCTCAGGACACAGTTTGTCTGGAATGTAAGTGCTTCTGGGTAATTGAGAAGGAATTTGAAGTAAACAAAATGTTCTGGTTACCTAGTGCCACTCTGACAAGAATATACCACAAATGAGATGGCTTGAAGAAATAGGAGTTTATTCTCTTGCAGTCTGGGAGGTAGAAGTCTGAGTTCAAAGTGCCAGGCTCTAGGGGCTGTGTGAAAGCCCCTCGACCTAGGGCTTCAGCTCTGCCTCTTGCTCCCGGCCCACTGACGCTAGAGTCATCTCTTCACTCAGGCAGCTACTGGCTGCTGAGGCTAACAAGCCAAAGTTCGACAAATAAAATGGCGTAGTCCCAATGTTACCAAACCACATGGCAGGATATTAATTCAAGTCTATTGAAAGTGCCAAGGCCGGCAGAACATGGTAGGCTGCTGAACAAGGACATGGCTACATGCAGGGTTCAAGTGTGCCATAAGCTAGAGACCATTCCCAAAGCTGCTGCTTATATATGGGAAGCAGACCACATCCCTAAAGCAGCTACTCAGCTGCTCCAATATATTCCACCATGGAGTTAATTACCAATCTTACCACAGGGAATAACTACATCCAGGTGCCCAGCCACTCAACCAGACCCAGCCAAGTTGACACACAGACTTAACCACCATACAAAAAGTAACCTTGATCAAAAGTGGTATGAATGCCTTTTTCTACTCTGTAGAATACCCACTCTTCCCTCATCAAGGAGAGGCCAGTCTGAGGAGGGAAAGAGATAGCCTTGGTTCCAATGATTATGTTGTTGTTGTTATGTGCCGTCAAGTCAGACCTGACTTATAGGTTTCTGAGGTGGTAACACTATGGAAGTAGATTGCTCAATCTTCCTTCTGAGGAGTGGCTGGTGGGTTTGAACCGCCAGCCTTCTGGTTCACAGTCAAGTGCCTTAGGCACTACGCTACCAGAGCTCCTTGCATTGATTATACTACCTGGAATATAATCAAGTCCTATAATATATAGGACCAACTGCTCTGCAAATGCGCTTGCCTTTTTATGGATTAATGTTAGTTGGCATATACAAGGTGATCAAGTCTTCATTAGAACCTTTTCATTATCCATTAAAACCTTGGAGAGTTTTATAAAAGGCAGGGCAAATAGGAAAACTGCTTCAGCTTTTGAAGACCCCAAGATCCCTTACATATCAAGTCATGGGATATTTATAAACAGAACTCTGTAAAATAAATCCTGAGTACCCCAGTGCTCCAGGCAGATAGTAAGCACATAAATACACTTGCAGTGTAATGTGATAGTTCCATTAAGAGAATGGTCTACAAGGTACAGAGAAACTACAGAGAATCTAGTTCTTTGTAGCGATGACAGGAAAGGCTTCAGAGCAGTGACACATGAGCTGTGTTTTCAAGCATAAGCAGGAGTTTTCAGTGGAGAGAAAGAGGAGGCCTGAAACAAGTGTGAATAGGCCCCCAGGTGTGAAGTGGGCAGAGATGGAGGTACCTACATGGCTCCCAAGGCCAGCACTTACAGGGCTTTCAGTATCCTGCTAAGATTTTTGGACATTTATGGCTGTGGGAGCTCTGGTGGCATAGTGCCTAAGGCATCTGACTGCTAACCCACCAGCCACTCCTCAGAAGGAAGATTGGACAACCTACTTCTGTAGTGATGTTGTTGTTGTTATGTGCCGTTGAGTCGGACCCGACTCTTAGCGACCCCTCCTTGGGTTTCTGAGGCAGTATCACTACGGAAGTAGATTGCCCCATCTTCCTTCCGAGGAGTGGCTGGTGGGTTTGAACCGCCAGCTTTCTGGTTAGCAGTCAAATGCCTTAGGCACTATGGGAAACCCAAGGAGGGGTTGCTATGAGTTGGATCCCACTCGATGACAGTGTGGTTTGGTTTTGATCTTAAAGGCAATGGTTTGCCCAGTTGAGTCAAGTAACCAGTACATTGGACAAAAAGAATATACTTGATCCAGAATTTTTAATTTAAAAGAAGAAGAAATAATGAATTTTCACCTCAATTACCCTGATGGCATAGTGCCTAATGCATTTTGACTGTTAACCAGAAGATTGGAGGTTCAAACCTGTCAGCCGCTCCACAGAAGGAATATGGAGCAATCTACTTCTGTAAACATTTACCACCTCAGAAACGCAATGGGGGTTGCTGAGTCAGAATAGACTCAATGGCAGTGAGTTTGGTTTGGTTTTGAAAGTGTTCAAATAAATCATTTCCATTTTGAATCTTTTTACCACTCTCCCCTAGGGAGGTACTAGACTCAAACCTATCTGGCCCTTGGATCATGAATCAACATAACATATGGGAACACTTAAAACATAAAAGGTTCTGCCCTTATTCTCCTGTCAGCTGATTAAGCAAGGATTGCCCCAGGGGAGATGGCTGAAAAGCAGAATTTAGGGAAATATTCACCTGCTTTTCCTGTTTTACAGCTGGATCTCCAGTGGGTCCAAGTTTTGAGTGAAGGCTGGGCTACTCCCCTGAAAGGTTTTATGCGGGAGAAGGAGTACTTGCAGGTTCTCCACTTTGATACCCTGCTAGATGGTATGATTTCTCGTTTCCTACTATTTATTCTTAAAAGAAAAAAACAATGTTACGCAGAAGCCTGAACAGAAACAAACAGTAATACAAGATCCATAAATCTTGCTGTGGAAATGTTGAGGTCATTTAAGTTGTGTCCAATTCTATTATACATAAGCTTCCATTTTTAGGGTTTTGGGTTATTCTCAAAAGATTATTATTTAAAACCTAAGGGACTTAAAAATGATGATTTTTCTTACATACAAAACTAAGAGACATTTAAGTCTGTTTCACTTCCACTTGCTGTTTGTTGACCTGCTGTCTGCCAGGTGCCATCCTGGGGCACCCGGGATTGATGAGCTCAGCAGATCCATAGCACCTCCCACCCTCCAGGTTTCTCTGTCAGATTATTATTGCAGGTTCTTCTTCCTTTGGTGGATACTAAAGTGTCTAAGTTTGTGCCCATACATGATATATATTTAGAATATACACTAAATTCTAACAGGGGAGCACTTAGGGAGCTTTCTGGACACAAGCTGAATGGCTCTTAGAGAACTGACCGGGTCAAGGTCGGAAACGTTATTCAGAAAACTTCCGGACCCTTCTATGATCATTTCCTTCCTAAAACTGCCTGAGATTATTAAATGGAACTTGTCTATTTCAAAACCAGCTAAGGGGGGAGTCTCTCTGAATTTATAACATTAAATAGGGCTCCAACCTTTTAGGAAGAAAAATCAGATGCTCTTTCTTGGAAAAGATGTTTGTGTTCTGGCTTTATGCCTCTGCTTGGAAAATGGGGCATAAAGCCAGAATCAGAGCTAAAGACTGATAAAAATGGGCCCTCTTCCCATATTCCACTGCTGTAAGTGATAATGCCCCCCAACTTGAGGCTTTCATTTCTCAGATTAAATAGCATACTAAAAAGACTCTTGGTTTACTCATAGCTTGCTTCAACAATATAATCACTCGTATTTATACAGCACTTCACTGTGTGTCTAGCATTGTCTCAGGTATTTTTCATTGAATCCCCACAAATGTATGTGTGTATGGATCCCATGGATGTAGCTATTCTGGAATACATCCATATTCCAGAGCCTCTGCTTCTATACCTTCTCCCAAGCTGGGGTTGAACACCATTTGACAGTGGTCATCATATCACATGTTTGCAAGGGACAACACTTTAATGAAGTTGGAGAGGAGGCTACTGGTATAATTATTTAAAAACATAATCAGCTGAACGATGCTTTTGGGTTATATTGAATGACCGTCAAAAAATTTTGATTTCACCAGATTTTTGCTGTCATGGATACTCTTTTTTTTTTTTAATAGCAATAGCAAGAACTCAATATATTTGTATATATGTGAAGTTTCATAATAGGAAATTTTTTCCTTGACATTGTTGCTTTAAGATTATTTTGGTGGAGAGCTGAAAACATGTTTCTTAATTGTGTTTGTATTTCTCTAGGCATGGTCCTTTCTGGTATGTACTTCAACAAAATTCCACATATTTATACAAATTATAATTAGATATGTCACATTAATTAGAAATGGTTAAAAACGTAACTGAAAACAATCTAAATTAACCAGCTGGAAGTGATATCAGTTCATGATCCAACCAGTCAGAATACTACATTTGTCTGTTGATTCAATTCCAAATAACAGGAAATATCTGGATCTGATGCAGCTGTTGTTTATAATGTTGTAGTACGCTGACAAAAATAAACTTCTAAATTATTGTTGTACATTTTGTTCCTGAGGTTTTTGTAAATTTACAATCCTCTCCAATACGAACTTCCGTTCAGTTGAGGTCCTTTTCACAAATTTGGACGTTTTTTTCCGCCCCTGTGGAGTTTATAAAATTTTTTTAATTGATAAAGCATAAATCAATTTTAGAGGAATTTAAAGTGAATGCACCTGGTTGGATTGTGCATGATTGTACTCCATTTGTTTGCTATGTGTGATTATGCATGAATTTAATTTCAGCCGATCATGATCCATAGTTGTAGAACTGGGAATAAACGTTTACTTGCTGTGACCTAAAATTCTGCATTGTACCAGGATGAAAGGTAAAATTCTGAAGCTATCATTAATCTTTGGTATCGGTTTTATTACTGTTTTTCCTTCATTTGAAAAGCATAGTTAATTCCTTGGAAAACTAAAAAAATAGAACTACCATGACCCAGCAATTCTACTCCTAGGTATATACCCGAAAGACTTGAAAGCAGAAACTCAAAAAGAGACTTGTGCAACCAATATTCATTGCAGCACTACTTACAACAGCCAAAAGAGGGCCTAAATGCCCATCAACAGATAAATGACTAAACAAAATGTACATACTTACAATGGAATACCACTCCGGCTTCAGGAGAAATGAAGTCTTGATACATGCTGCCATATGAATGGAGCTTGAACACATTATGCTGAGCAAAATATGTCAATCACAAAGGGATGAATATTATATGACCTCACATGAAAAGACAAGAGAAGGCAAATACGTAGAAACTGAAGTTTATTAATGGTTACCAGGGGAGAGAGGGAGGGGGAAAAGGGGGAATTAACGGTGATGGAAAAATCACACTGATTAAGAATAGCGTTGCCAGTTACTCTAATTGCTGTCAAGTTGCCCATCTGTAAAAAGTTGAAGAGGAAAAAAAAAAAAAAAAGAGTAGCTGCTGAGTGCTGAGGCTGCTTTATACAACCAAACAACTCATGGGATTTGGTTCCTTGGTTTGGAGGTTTAGGGTCATGGTTTCATGGCACATCCCAGTTAATTGGCCAAATAACATGTTTAGTGCTTCTGTTCTACTTCCTAGTTGGTGTGTAGTGCCTGGGGTCTTAAAGGCTTACAAGCAGCCATCTAAGACACAACAATTGATTTCTATTCACCTGGAGCAACAGAGGAAGAAGGAGAATCAGGAATAGAGGAAGGATATGGAATGTGTGGTTAGTCATCTCCATGAACAGCTCTCTCCTTTGCCATGAGACCAGAAAAACTGATGGTGTCAGGGTACCACGACTGAACATTTTGATCAAAGACTGCATAGAGGAATCCTGATCAAAAAGGGAGCAATGCAGATCAGAATTTCAAATTCCCATGGACTCTAGACTATCTTGAGCCATGGAGAGTGGATGAACCCCTGAAACTATTGTCTGGAAATAATCATTAAACCGTAAACCACAAATATCCCCTAAAGTCTTCTGAAAACCAAACATTAGTTTAGCCTAATAAAGTAAATAAAATCTGCCTTGAGCATTATGCTCTTTTAAAAACTCTATGGGAGATTGACAACAGCAACTCAAAAGATGAGATAGGAACCTTAGTGAACAGTGAGTTTATGTTAATAGGCGATGAACAAGGCAGAAAAGGAGGATGAGAATATAACCAATGTTAGTAAATTGTACATGTAGAAACTGTTGAATTGGTTTATGTTTGGCTGTGTATATTCTCAACAACAACAAAACAAATAAAATTTAAAAAGGCTCATTAAACAATAAAATACAGTTTATGTGTTACATAGTAATAACTCTAAACAACAGAGAAGCAGATCAAAAGGCTAAACCAAAAAGCTTGAAAATTTAAAACAAAAGCAAAATTATTCAACTGAACAGGAAGTTATCTGCTGAATTGACTATAAACAACACAATACCATACTCTTTTCCAAAGTGAGATATCACACAATAAAATAACCCATGTGATTCCCACCAGAGGAAAAATCCACAAAAGAACAAGACTGGAAGCCCAAGTTAGTACTTGAAGGGTTGAAGGAGGTTTCAAGACTGAATTAAATTTTTGGATAAGTTTGTGTTCCAGAAGAGTTGATAAAGATGATAGGGATCTACTGTACATCATCTTCTGTCTCTCTGGACTAACAACATGTTGCTGTTGTATGCCATGAAATTGATTCTGACTCATAGCCACCCTCTAGAACAGTGTGCAGCTACCCCATAGGGCTCCCAGAGCTGTAGTCTTTATGGGAGCACATAGCCAGGTCTTTTCTCCCATGGAGCGGCTGGTGGATTCAAACAGCTGACCTTTTCGTGAGCAGCTAAGCATTTAATTGTCGTGCCACCAGGGCTCCTTGCAACACTCATAAACTTCCATTAATACAGAGCTTTATAGCATGCCTCCTCCCGGCAACCCAGGGAGACCTGCTGCCATCAAATCAGTTCTGACTCGTGGCAACCCTACGTGCATCAGCGAACTGTGCTCCGTAGGGTTGTCAATGGATGATTTTTCGAAAGTAGATCACCAGGTCTGTCTTCCCGGGTGCTTCTGGAGGACTCCAACCTCCAACCCTTCGGTTGGCACCCAAGCCCTTTACCCATTTGCAGCACCCAGGGACTCTGTAACCCAGGGACATACATATTCTTTGTCTTCCCATTTTTCAAGTGAGGAAATTGAGCTCAGTCACGGGAGGACCCCTGACCATTAGCTGAGTGTGCTTTGAATAGGGCTTGGGCTATTCTTATTGTCCATGAACTTTGAACCAAAAAAAGTTAATTGAATGAGAAAACCCATTAAAACATTACATTCTGTGAACAGTGCCCTTATAAAGTCTGCTTATAAAGCAGAACAGGTTGCAGGATTTTATAACAGATGAGATTTCTTTATTGCTGGCAGTTGCTGTCTACATCCTATGGCATTCTTTAGGTCCTAGTAACTTATGGACAGTGTTTAGAAAGTGCCAAGTGTTATGCCTGGAAAATTTCAGTTTCATAGATTCTAGGGGGTGTCTTATCCTCCAAAGAAATGAACTCTGAACTTTAACTCGACCAGAGGTGTTCTAAATGTTTGCTTTTGAAAGTTGAGTTGAAATTATTTCATTATTCTATGGTGCTTTTCCTCAAATCCATAAATGACTGCACTTGTTTCTTCTGGAGTTGAATGTTTTCTTCATTTGCCTTCCTCCCATCCCCCTCTGTGTCTTTAACTTGGGAATTCCCAAAAAATTATTCCTAATGTTCTTCTGTTCTACATATTGGGCATGGGCCTCCATTTTCTCTCCTGTAAGTACAGTTGAGAGACTGACACATTTGTTATAATGCTAGGGCATCATTATAAAAGGGGGAACATAGTTCTCTAATAACTGACTTTTACATTATCTGGAATTATTAAGAAATGAGTTATTCCCAGAGAATCAAATTTTATCTCTTGAGCTCCCAACTAAAAAACAACTATTCCTTTCAACTATTTTTCTGGAAATATTTTTCAAATATGCTAAAAAAAAAAATGCCTTCTGAGTCAAACAAAAAAAAAAAAAAAAAGAAAGAAAAGGAACATATTCTATGCAAGGTAGCCCTTTTTAGTGACTGAGTCATCATTAGGGATACCAGTTATTAAGCTTTATTAAGCTGAGCTCTCACATAATGGTGCCCTGAGGACGCAGAGACCTGTAAAAAGGCTGGCCACCATTCTAAGGGACCACCCCCCATGACTCTTACTTTAGTTTCTGTTTTTTAATAGTTTTCCTGTCTCTTCCTCACAGTCACGTTGTCATTTGACATTTATTGCTGCTGTAGATGTAACTTCTCAGAACACACATTCCATACCTTCTAATTTGTTGTGTTGCACACTGAGAAACCAGAACACCAGTTATTTAAGTGTCTTTTAAAGTATGAGACTCAGCATAAAGGTGAGCGGTGTTCACTCTTCAAAGAAAGTGCATGTCATTTACTAACTGAACTTTATGGTGTTTTCATTCACCCGTCCACTTTTTGGCTGGTGGCTCTCCATTGTACTTGAGATAGCAAGACTTAGGATTCCCAGAGAAGTGGGAATACCAGTCTCTTCAAAGACATTTAAATGTCACACTGGGGCTTGGATTCCGGTGAACACACAACATTAGAGGACTACTTGTTTTTGGTCCTGTTGGTTACTGTTCATTGTCTTTTTTTTTTTTTCTTTTGTTTTCAGTTCAGTATGTTGGTGAACATAGAGCCTAAACAGAGAATAAGAGACTTGGTCAACATTGTTAAAAGGTTAATTTTTAAGAAAGACTAGCAGTTTTTGTTTTTGTTATTTTAACAAACTTAATTGGGTTTTTAAAGACTTTAAACTCCCTAGTGTTTTGAGGTCAGAGTCAGACTTTAGAAAGGGAATCCAAAAGCGACACCCCCTCCTGGTCCCCTAAGAACTGAGCAGCTCACTTTTCACAACTGCCCCATTTCTTGCATTGAGAAGCCCATCAAGGATTTCTTATCCCACACACTAGAGAAAATGGTGCCGCTTACAAACTATGTTAGGTTTAGGTCTTATGCCTTTTGCAGGAAATGTTTGGAAGAGGCATTGTCCACACTTGGGGAGCTCTGGTGGCATAGTGCCTAAAGCATGTGACTGCTAACCAGAAGGCTGGCGGTTCAAACCCACCAGCCACTCCTCAGAAGGAAGGTTGGGCAATCTACTTCCGTAGCGATGCCGCCTCGGAAACCCAAGGAGGGGTCACTATGAGTCAGACCCAACTCGGCGGCAGTGAGTTTGTTCACACTTGAGTCATCCTTAAAGGACCGCAAACCTTGTATCCTATGTTCATGAATCACATGACTCTTTCCACAGATGGAGTGATCAACATGAGCGTTCCCATTGTGCTGCCCGTCTCTACAGACAATAAGATGCGCCTGGAAGAGTGCAGCGAGTTTGCGCTGGTACATGGAGGCCGACGGGTGGCGATCTTACAAGACCCTGAATTCTATGAACACAGAAAAGAGGAGCGTTGCTCCCGAGTGTGGGGGACAACATGTGCAAAACATCCCCACATCAAAGTAAGTTGCAAAATCTTCAGAAGTTTTCTTGATCCATTTCAACTTAGGATAAAAATAATTATTTTTACGTCCTTCATCAAGGACTTAGAATAACTGGGATTAGATGGGAAAATGCATTTTTAAGGGAAGCTCTGGGAAATCTTTGCCTTGGTAAATCTTTTTGGAAAGGGGCAAAGAAACGTCTTTCTGCTTGAGAACTGGTTTGAACAATCTCAGGTGCTCTGATTCTGTAATGGCTGATCCTTTAGCTAAATGCAACAGCGGGACCAGGTAGATAATTTAGCCTCGCATCACGTGTATAGGGCCCAAATCATCAGTTTGATTTTCAGAAGAAGTAGCTATGCACAGAAACAAGGCCAGAGCTTACAACCTTATGCATCTGAAAATGTGCAAGAAAAATTAGTTTCTTCATACAATGGGCTCAACTTCTGGAAAGGGAACTCAAAGTCAGCAATCCTTTTTGGACACAGAAATCAGCACAGAGAGTGGCAGTGTTTCCAGAAGGAACAGACAGATCTTCAGGGAATTTTTTTTCAATCGTTGAAAAAAATTCAATGAATATTTTTTAAGACTGAAAAGTGTATTCATCTGATTAGACACATCCAGGGCCTGTCCAAAGGCAATACAGACGAAAACTCTTCAGATTCCTTTACAACTTCTAATTGTTACTGGTGTGTGCTGTGGAAGGGGTATTATGAAATTGCTGGGTGTGGTTCATTTGCCATAAAAGAAAACATGTTTCATTGAATGCAAAAACCATTCCTCATTCAAGATTAGAGTGTTAGGGTGGAGAGGGTGAGACCTGAAATAAAGAAAGGCTTATGCTACTGATTTAACTTGTCACATTCCCCAGTGGGAGTAACTATCACAGAGTTCATGGAATAGAGAGCAGTTTGAGGCCCAGGAGACTGGATAGCCATATGATCCAACAAGGTCCATCTTCTCTCTGGGCCTCAGTTTCTTCATTTATAAATGGAGGGGGTTGTTAGCAGTCATCCCATCACCCTGACTCAACGCAGCCCCATACAGAGTTGAACAAAATGCTGCCTAGCTGGTTGCCGATTGGACTGCTGTGATCATTTGGGCTGTGACTGGCTGCTGTCAGGGAGTAGATCACCAGGACTTTCTTCCTGCCCATCTCAGTCTGGAAGCACCACTGAAACCCGTTCCGCATTAGAGCAACACTGACAGATGGGTGGCATCGGAGGGAAGAGAAGTCAATAGACTTCTTCTCTGGCATAGGAGTCAAGAATTCTACCACTGAACCACCAATGTCTCACATAAAAAGGAAGTGGCCATACTCAAAACAACTCCAAGGTGTCTCTCTTCCAGCCCTGTCACCCCACAAATTGGGTATCTGAATATATCTCATCCAAAACTCTCAGGTGAAGTTATATTTTGTGTTTTCAGTTGTGAAATGTTCCTTTCAAGGCCCCCGTTGGTAGCCCTTTTTGATATGAGCACAAGAGACCAATGGTCAAGCAATGCCACCTTTCTATTTATTGGACACAGCTATCTGTCCTGCAGATAGGCAGTCATCTGTAATTGTAAGGACAATCTAGAGCAAAGTCATCTGAATAGTCTTTCTCAAAGAAGCCGTCAAAATCTTTCAAATTACTTGATACCGAACTGTTTGAGGAACACTGTGTTCGGGCCATAATTACGCTTTTATTTCATTCCTTTCCTGGTAGTAATCATATATATTTGGGATCTTATCTTTATCCAGTGACCCAAAGAATAGTGGCCGTTCATTACCCCAGCTCAGATATTTCTAGTATTGGGTCTAGCATCCACATAACACATGACTTGTTGTTGTTGTTGTTATGTGCCGTCAAGTCGGACCTGACTCATAGCAACCCCTCCTTGCGTTTCTGAGGCAGTATCACTACGGAAGTAGATTGCCCAACCTTCCTTCCGAGGAGTGGCTGGTGAGTTTGAACCGCCAGCCTTCTGGTAAGCAGTCAAGTGCCTTAGGCACTATGCTACCAGAGCTAACACATGACTAGCACCAAAAAAAGAAAAACAAGGAAGGTTTCAAGCAATTTCTTTTCATCTTGTCTTGCCATGTGTGTTAGCAGCTGGAAGTCAACATTTAGAAGCCAGGGAAAGCAGTGGCATGATTTGTGGCCTTGACAATGTCATCAGTGACTGGATCATTAGGTCATTAGAGAAACTCTGTAAACATTCCCAGTGAGCTGATGGTGAGCAGTGGACCATGGATAAACCAGAAGAAGGTCATGTGCCATGTATGCACTATGCTTGGATTGTTGGAGATGTGTTTACCAGACATATGAAACATGGGTTTTATTGGAAAAGAAACTCTTTTCAATGTACTTTTTTTTTAAAAAAAAAAAACCTTGGAAACTCAGAATACTTTTTTTTTCAGAACATCATGCCTTTTAAATAAATCATGGGCCTTTTTGTATTTCCATGGGGCATTTGGAGTGACATTTGCTGGAAAGTAGTGAGAGTCACCACGAAAATGGTCTGAAGTCACCCTTGACTTTCCATTCAAGGCCTTTCAGTCCAAAACTAATTAGAACTATGTGACGTGATCTCAGATGAAATCATGAGGAGGAGCAGGTGAAACTTATAAAAATAATGCTTGGAGAAGCCTGGTTTCCTTTCATCCATGGCTCTCAAAGCTTCTCCAAATAGTAATTATTTCTCAGAATACTCTTGTAAAGTAGCTAAGAATCATTATTGCCATTTTACAGATCCAGAAACCAAGAGAACAGAATGTAATTTTCCAATGAAGGACAGGAATGAGAGTTTTCTTATCCCTTGGCTCCACACTGAAGGCGTGTTAGATCAACTGAATCACCTGGGGAGGGGGACTTTGAAAATTATTAAAGACTGGACCCCACGCCAGCAGATTGATATAATTGGTTTGGGGTTGGGTCTGGGCATTTGGGGATTTTAAAGCTACCCGGTGATGCTGATGTGCAGCTAAGGCTGAGAACCATTGTGCTGGATGATTATTTGGAGTATATCCAATTGTTTCCTGTATGGCTCCACCTGCATATACTCTGCGAGCAACCTCAAAGTCGAATGCCCAACCTCTCCCCAGACCTGTTCTAGCTCCAGCGGTGGCCCATGTCTAAAACCTGGATGCCATTCTTACTGGCTTCTTCCCTTTCATTCATTTAGTCTCCAAGACCTGACAGTTTTGCCTCCTAGGTATTGCTTGAATTTGTTCACTTGTTTTCTAATCTAACTTATCCTGGATGAGGCTATTTCATCTGCTCCTGTCTCTAGCCTTCCTCCTCTCCAGACAATTCTCCATTCTTCAACCAGAGTGACTTCATCTTACCTCTTACCCATTTGCTACCATCACTCAACATATTCTTTCCTCCAGTCATTCTGGGCTGGTCTTCCATCATGCAGTGTCTTACACATTCTAGTTCCTCAACCTAGGGCACTGTTCCTTCCATCTCTGCCTCCTCACCTTACTTACTCCTTTACCTCCTTGCAGAAGTCAGCCCTTCCGCAGTGCCCCATGACCCTGAGTGAGTGACCTTCTTTGTACTCCCAAGGCACTTTATACCTGTCCTATTTATCATGTATTCCTATGAGATTAATACCTTTTTATTCTTCTGTCAAACTATATAGACTCCCAGTGGAGAGATTGAGACCACATTTGTCTTGTTTTCCCTCCAATCCCCAGCAGCAAGCCCTGGGCCAGGCACATAATAAATACTGACAGTGGAGGATGGATTAAAGAGCCCTTGTCTTGGGTCTCTAGTGCTGCTGTAACAGAAATACCACAAGGAGATGACTTCAACAAATAAGAATTCATTCTCTTACAGTTAAAGAGGCTAGAAATCTGAGTTCAGAGTGCCGGGTCTCGGGGCTGGGTGGAAGCCCCTCAACCTTGGCCTTCAGTTCTGTCTCTTGTACCAGACCCTGGAACAAGCTGGAGGCTTTTCATGACTCATGCAGCTACTGGCTGCTGAAGCTGCTGAAGCCAAGATTGACAGGTAAAATGGCAAAATCCCAAGCTCAGCAGGCAACACAGCGGGCCACTGGTTCAAGTCCAGGAACTGGAGATGAAGACTTGGCCAAATGCAGGCTCCAAAGTATGCCAAAAAGCTAGAGACCTTTCCCAAAGTTTCTCCATATATACTGGAAGCGGGCCATACCCCAAAGGCAACTGATAACTGTCACAGCAGATCCACTCTGCAGTTGATTACACCACATCCAATCTCATCATGAGGAATAACTACATCTAGCTGCCAAGCCACTCAAAATCACGGCCCAGCCAAGTTGACACACAACCTTAACTCCACATCCCTGTCAAAGTAATGCTGAAACGTCAGCATGGAGACCACTGCTTCGAGGTAGAGAGTACAGTGGGAGGGAGCGCCTGATTTCAATGGCCCTGGATTTAGTTCCAGACTTTGATAAGGCATCTGTGTACATGTGAACTCTGCCATCTCACTTCTATAAAACTGCCTTCTCCTTTGGCAGTGAGAGCATTTAGTCCACATGATCTCCAAGTCCCTTACAGCTCCAGAATCCCGTGACTGTGATAGATATACCATAAAGGAATACATGTTCTCCGCCTGGATCACAGTGGTAGTCTCTCTGCTCCTCAGTTCTGTTCTCTGAACCATTTCATCGTGACGTTTTTTCTTGAAAGGAGCTCTGGTGGCATATTGGGTGATGCATTTGGCTGCTAACCACGAGGCTGGCAGATCAAACCAACCAGCCACTCCGCAGGAGGAAGATGAGGCAATTTACTTCCATAAGGATTTACAGCTGTGGAAACCCAGTAGGGCTCATTGTGAGTCAGAATCAACTTGACGGTAGTGGTTCTATTTTACTTTTTCTTGAACCCACCATTTCTTATCTTCCTTCTGGTTCTTTCCTATCACTCCTTTCCTTTTCTTGATCTGTCCTCTGCACCTTCTTACTCCTGGCTGCTCCTCTTTTCCCACTTTGCACATCCCTTCTTCCTCTCCAGGCTGGTTCTTTCCAATCTTCCTCTCTTTGCCCTCCCTGAGCCTATTCACCATGGCTTTCTTAGTCTTTATCCTGGTCATGGGGCTCATCCTCTTTGGACTCCTGTTGTCTGCAATTCCAAGCCCGATCGCCCTTTTTCTTATCTCACTGGACTCCCTCAGAACCTGTTCCCTGTTCCTCTGGGTGTGTCCAGTTCTGCCAACTCCCTAGCCGTGGCTCTGCCAACTCCCTAGCCGTGGCTCCTTTCTTGCCTTTGACAAAATGCTTGCAAGGGGATGAGTATTTCCAGGCCACAAAGCCCTGGTAAATTAGACAGAGCCATGGATACCCTTCCTGATAGCTGGACCACAGTTGATGCCAAAAGCAGTTTCCGTGCTGCTCTTCAAAACAGACACATTTTTAAGCTGAGTGGTAAAGCGAATTGGTTCACTGTGCTTTCACCAATCAATAGAACAATATAGGGTAGACCCCTAGTGTCCAAAATGAGTTACTGCACACCTGGGAATTTTATTCTGTTTTCTAATTCTAAGCAAAAAAGAGCCTGCTAATGCACTTGGCTGCTAACTGAAAGCTTGGCAGTTTTAACCCATCCAGTGGCTCCACAAAAGAAAGACCTGGTAATCTGCTTCCATAAAGATTACAGCTAAGAAAACTCCATGCGGCATTTCTACTTTGTCAATGGGGTCACTCTGAGTTAGTTAGAATTGACTCGATGACACCCAGCAACACGGTAATTCTGAGCAATGCGGAGTAAGCAAGTGTATGATGTTGTTGTTACGTGCCATCAAGTCAGACCCAACTCATAGCGACCCCTTCTTCGGTTTCCGAGGCGGTATCACTACGGAAGTAGATTGCCCAACCTTCGTTCCGAGGAGTGGCTGGTGGGTTTGAACCGCCAGCCTTCTGGTTAGCAGTATTTGACAGCATTCTTGTTCAGTGATCTGCCTGAGCACGGGTCTCAGAGATGGAGCCCTGGCAGCACAACCAAGCACCCTGCACAATCAACGCCTCTCTCCTCCAGGCTTTCTCGGTCCCAGCGCTACTGATATTTTGGTCCAGAAGGTTCTTTGTTGTAAGAGGGACTGTCCTGTATGTTGCAGGATGTTTAGCATCTTCAACAATAATACAAGATCGATCCAGAAGAAGCAGAAAAATGTTCAAAATCAATATTAATCATTACCAACTTTCTTAACGTTCACTCTAGATGGTGATGGAAAGCGGTGATTGGCTGGTTGGTGGAGACCTTCAGGTGCTAGAGAGAATAAGGTGGAATGATGGGCTGGACCAATACCGCCTGACGCCTCTGGAACTCAAACATAAATGTAAAGAAATGGATGCTGGTATGTAGACTGGCTCCGAAGCATTTGTTAACACTCCTTACCACCCTTGGAATACTTCTCAAACAAGCCTTCTGATTAAAGAATTAAGGATGTTAGGAACCACCATTTTTGTACTTCAGCTGGAAACATCTTCTATATGTCTGTTGATATGGCAATAGTTTTTTTTTTAAAGTCACACAATACCCATGCATTAAATACTATGCAGTAGTTAACACTATGCACTGACACAGAAAGATGCCCAAGGTGTCTGTGTTAAGTGCCAAAAGGAGTTGCAGGATAATATGCATAGCATAATCGTTTTTGGAAAACATAATAAAATATAATAATAAAATTTAAAATCCCAAACTACTTTTATGTGTAAAAGCAGAAAAGACTATGGGAGCATGTGCACCAAATTGCAGAATGTAGGGGCTACTTTGTGAGGATACAGTTGGACCAAGGGGAGGTTTTCACTTTTTACTCTATGCATTTTGAAAAAGAGAAAAAAAGTCACAGTAGGATTATGGGTGATTTTTATTTCTATTTTGGGCTTTTCTTCATTTTCCAAGTTTTCTGTAATGAATATATACTAATTACATTTCATAATTGGGAGCTCTGGTGGAGTAGTGCCTAAGACACTTGACTGCTAACCAGAAGGCTGGTGGTTCAAACCCACCAGCCACTCCTTGGAAGGAAGGTTGGGCAATCTACTTCCATAGTGATACTGCCTTGGAAACCCAAGGAGGGGTCGCTATGAGTCAGAGACGACTCGACGGCACCTAACAACAACAACAACAACACATTTTCATAACCACACAAGAAAGGTAAGGCTCTCAGGAGTCCATCACTAAGTAGAATACTTCTGAAGACATTTTAAAAGTGAAGGTGAAGTGTTTTTCACATCTGTGTACTGTTAAAGTGTTGCACAGGCCCCAAAAAATGTTCCTCTTCATTCTTCCCCCACCTGGGAAGTGAGACTGGAGCTGGGCACAAGAGGACGAATGCTGAGCCCTGGCTGAGCCTTGGGTTACAAGAAAGGTCCTGGCAACAAACGGTTCCATTTCTGAGTCAGGATCTTTCTTTAGGGCTTCCTCCTTCTGAGATCTAGCCCCATCTCAGCAGCCTGGCTTTGGTTGGTGCCTTTTGATTAGTGCTTCCAATGCCCCAGGTACACTTTTCAGTTAATAATCAAAAGATTTAATGAATGCAATAATCAACAGATATAGCTGTCTTTCCGTCCATTCTCGTGGACACAAGTGACACTGTGTATTCCTCCTACTTTGACCTTCTGCTTTCCTTTCCCCAGATGCGGTGTTTGCATTCCAGTTGCGCAACCCTGTCCACAATGGCCATGCTCTGTTGATGCAGGACACCCGCCGCCGGCTCCTGGAGAGGGGCTACAAGCACCCGGTCCTCCTGCTACACCCTCTGGGTGGCTGGACCAAGGATGACGATGTGCCCCTGGACTGGCGCATGAAGCAACATGCAGCTGTGCTTGAGGAAGGGGTCCTGGATCCCAAGTCAACCATCGTTGCCATCTTCCCATCTCCCATGTTATATGCTGGGCCCACAGAGGTGAGCAGTTGGGCTATGCAACTCAGAAATGCAAGCTCAAACTTTACTTAAAAGAGCAAATGAAATCTTGATGATCCTTTCTTCTCTGTCACGAACAGACTCTTCTGGTCTCTTTTATTTATCCATCTTCATGATGTTTCCCCTTTGTTGTTGTTGGATACCCTTGAGTCAATTCTCAATTAGTAGCAACCCCTCTGACAGAGTAGAACTACCCCGTGGGCTTTTCTTGGCTGTAATCTTCATGGGAGCAGATCTCCAGATCTTTCTCCAACATAGGCACTGGGTAGGTTCCAACCAGGTTAGCAGTTCAGTGCCTAACTGTTACGCCACCAGCACTCCTTGATGTTTCCATTTAGTATACGAAAAAATGCTAAAAACATAAAATCAAATATTGCATTGCCTTTGAGAATATGGAGGTTGGTGTGTAAATGGGATGAATAATGCAGCTTAATTGGGTTAAAGAGCAAGTTATATCTAGTTAAATTCCATGTCAGAAGTTCCAGTTATTCTAAGTGATTTACCAGGCCCTGTGAGCTATAGGAGAAGGGAGAAGATAACTTAAAAAAAAAAAAAGACATCCCCTTTCATCATAATACAGTGAGCCAATCAAGCAGATATTTTCTTTGGCCTATCTGTACCACCAATGTGGTAGATCTGAATGAATTTGTGAGAAGTAGGATGAATTGAAAGGGTCAAACCCTTTGGAATGGGAGCTCTGGTAGTATAGTGCGTAAGGCACTTGACTGCCAACCAGAAAGCTGGCGGTTCAAACCCACCAGCCACTCCTTGGAAGGAAGGCTGGGCAATCTACTTCTATAGTGATACTGCCTCGGAAACCCAAGGAGAGGTTGCTATGAGTTGGGTCCGACTCAACGGCACATAACAACCACCACCACCATCCTTTGGAATGCCCCAAATTGAGTTTAATGAATCCTCTTCAATCAAACCAAAGTTCCAGGCCCCTGACTCCCCCTTCATCCTTTCTGTTTATATATGTTATAAAGAGGACAATTCATTTTGAATTCTCAGTGTTGGGTTGAATTGGAATCACCATCTGCATATATATTTATCTCGCTACTGGTGATTATAAGAGATGTTGGAGTTTGTCATTTCATTTAAACTTTATTCTGGAAAGAGAGAGGAATTGGAAAATATAACACGTGGTTTTGTAGAAGAACAGTAAGGTCTGAGTGATCCCAGTCTACTAGTCTGGAGAGGAGATGAGGAAATATAACCTCAGGTTCTAAGAGGGGACATTTGTATCTTGAAAGCTTCTATCCTACACAATATGACCAAGCAAGGGTCTGAAGAAGAGAACATGGAGTCTTAGATATCTCTGTGCCTTTCTTGCAATTTTCAGTTGGCACCCACCACTGAATTACTTTGAAAGCAGAATAAAGGCGTCTCAGGAACAGGCCCCCATAGGGTTGGCCAGTGATGAGCACCATGTCCTTTATGTGATGTTTCCTAGGTCCAGTGGCATTGCAGGGCCCGGATGATTGCAGGGGCCAACTTCTACATTGTGGGCCGGGACCCTGCAGGAATGCCCCACCCTGAGACCAAGAAGGACCTGTATGAACCCACTCATGGAGGCAAGGTCTTGAGCATGGCCCCTGGCCTCACCTCTGTGGAAATCATTCCATTCCGAGTGGCTGCCTACAACAAAGCCAAAAAAGCCATGGACTTCTATGACCCAGAAAGGTAGGTATTCCAAGGAAAATCCTTTCATTAGCATCTTTACAACTGGAATGGTGAGGCAAAATTTTGGCCCTTTGAGAACTCACAAGGAGTAGGCAGAAAATAGAAGGCAGTCTCTGGTCTCAAGATACTCCCTGGACAGAGTTGTTGTTGTTGTTGTTATGTGCCGTCGAGTCAAACCCGACTCATAGCGACCCCTCCTTGGGTTTCTGAGGCAGTATCACTACGGAAGTAGGATTG